CATTTAAAGGAGTTCTATGGACTGAAAAGAATCAAGAAAGGATTTGAGCACCATTTTTGGAAAGGAAAGAGCTCAGAGAGGAGGAAAGGAGATTGCAGCTGAGGTGGTGTGGTGTGAGGATACGGAGAGGGGACATTTATGAATATAGTCCTCAGATTTTACAGAGTGGTGTCTAGTAAACGTGGTATAGTGGACCAAAAGGCTTTGTACTCAGGCACACACAGGTTCTCATGGATAACCCTGGGCAAGCCTGTAAGTCTCCCTGAGGCTCAGTTCTTTGATCTGTAAAAGGAAGACAATAATATATATCCAGAGTTATTTTTATGCTTCAATGAAATGACAAAAGTGAATGCACCAATGAATGCTGATTTTCCTCACCCTCCTCTGTGTGGTCAAAAAATACATCTACTGGGCATAAAATAATAAGGGTATTTTCTCTTTATTCCCCTTTCCCCCTTTTAGCCTAGACTTCTGCAAAGAGATATGATTACAGAATTTCAGAGTTGAAAGGAATCTTAAAGAAAAATACACAATGCAATGTAACAGAAGAACTTAGAGAGCTCCTTGTCCCGCTCTCCCACGTTTTAGGCCCCTGGTAAGAAGACATCTCGGTCATGGGCAAAGTAATACCAGGATCAGAATGCAGGGTGGGGATGGAGTGGGACATCAGTCTTAGTCCAGGTCCTCAGTTATAGTTGAAAGGTAGGACAATTTTCAGCCCTTCCTAGCTCTAAAATGAAAGGCATAGATGAGTCTTAGCATCAGTACTTGCTACTTAACCTCTATAAGCCTCAGTTTCCTCAAAAAAACAAACAAACAAATGAACAAACACAGGATTGTTACAAGGATTGTATGAGATAATATATTTAAAGCACTCAGCACAAACCATGGTAAAGTTCAGTATAGGGAAGCTGTTAAATTTTGATGATCATAATTTAACAGACAGATAAATTGAAGAAATTATTGGCAGAAGAATTAGTGTTTATTAAATGTCTCCTACAAATAAGGTCCTGAGATAGGGACTTAAGCTTCTAAGTAGGCATCAATGCCCCTATTTCCCAGCTGCAGAGCCTGAGGTACATCCATATAGAGAAACTTCTCTCAGGTTTCTCCCAGACTCTAGAATCCACACTGCTACTAAAGAGTTAGAATCAAGTCAGACTAGACGGATGTCTCCTAACAACCCCATCGGAGTAAACCATGCATTCTCAGCTTTAAAAAAATTAGCAAATGAGTAGCTAACCTGAACTTATCCCCCAAAATATCAGATACTAAATGTTCTTTAAACTTCCTGTTCTTTGGTGTTTTTTTTTTTTTTTTCCTCCACAGAACAATTTCCAAAATGGGCAAGGACCACAGTAGGTAGCTCTCTTTAATATTTCACGGACAAGGTGGCAATGACTCACCAGATCCTACATCTGTGTCACCAGCAAAGCCTAATGAAGTTGAGCAACAATATGAAACCGTGTGTATGCTGAAGATAACCTTTATTTTTTTTTTCTTCTCTCTCCTGCTGTGATTTCCTCCAGCCACATTCTGCTTTCCTAACTGTGCCAAGTAAGGTGATGCTAACTGCCTACCTTTTGGCAAAAGCAAACATACGCTCCCAAATGCCAAAAGCAATGAGCAAAATGTTTCTCCCAGAACTGTGTTTGCAAGGCTGTCTGTTCGCTACAAAGGAGAAAAACCTGATGGTCTGTAAGGAGTCTCAATGGATAAAAGGTCCCACTGCCTGGGCCAGAAACAGTTCTGTTCAGCTTCCTACATAAGCCTGCAGCCATCCGTTGCTACAAGGTGGAGTGAAACTCCAGACCAGTAATCGGCACCACCAGCACACAGTGGTCTTTTCTGCAAATGTTGCCTTTGCATACTGTTCTTTATATTCCCCTCTTTACCCACGGAATTGGCAAAAAAAGTTGAAAAACAGTATGGAAACTGGTAGTATTTGTTGCTCAATCTTCTTACCAGCCTTGAACTAGCATGGGAATGGCAGAAGGAAGAAACCACCCAGAACAGGAAGAAAAAGATGACATAATTCTGAACTATATGTCTTCACAGTATCCTCCATTCTAGGAATTGAATGTGTATTACATCAAACCCATGACAGTAGGAAAATTGCCCCAGAGAGCATCACTTTAAACCTCCTCTCCTGAGCATGGACCCCACTAAACTCTACAGAGCTTGTTTAAGGCTTATTTTCTTAGCCAGGAAACACTCTCTTTGGGACAAAGAGGATAAACCTGAAATTACCAGCCAAATAAGGTCAACCCAACAACTGAAGTAAACTGTCAAAGATCTCATCGGAGAGGTGACAGGATTGACAGGACAAGACTTGAACTAGAAGTCAAAAGGTGTGAACTAGATTCCCAGAGCTGCAGCTTACTAACCACTTGGCCCCTGGCAACCTCACAATTATCTAAGTCTCATCCCTGTTTCTGTCTCAATAAACTGAGACTAGCTAAGAGGTATCATTTAGTGAGCACCTACTCACTGTATGTACTTGACGTTGTTCCACTGAATTTAATTCTCACACAAATTCCTGGGGTAAGCATATATATATATATATATATATATATATATATTTTTTTTTTCCATTTTAGAGCAGGATAAAACAGAACCTCTAAATGGTGAAGTAAATTGCTCAGTATCACTCAGTGGCTTAGGTATACATCTGGGATTTGAAATCAAATAGGTTTGACCATGAAACATGGGCTCCTTTCACTATTAATATGCCTGCCATGTCCTTCTCCCACAAGTACTGCAAGTAACGAGAAAAATAATATATGGAATGCACTTTGGAAATTTTAAAGTTCTATACATACATATGACTTTAGTAATAGCATTAGAATCTGTATAAGGAGAAAGGGTATAACTGGGCATCCTTCCTTCAAAGAACAAGAACCAAAAGGAATTACCTTTCAATTTCCCTTTCATCCCCATGTTCTGACCTTATTTTGAACATTTTCCTTTCCCCACAGGTCTTTCAGGCACACGTTCAGATGTATCCTGGCCAGCTCATCACAATGCGTGCACACAGAACAAGCTGACGGAAGCAAGTGAGCCCATCCTCTAAAAATGCTCGGTGCAGGAGGGACATAAGGGGCCACCCCCAGGCTCTTACCTTTACTCAGTGTATCACAGCCCCTCTCAAGCACTCAGCAATACTGCACAAATGCTATGGACTGTGAAGGGGACAGACAACTACAAATGCTGGACATTAAATTCAGGGACTTAGGGCATAGCCAGTAGATAGTAGTGAATAATTGTATGAAGTCAATCGGAATAAAAATCAATTGTCATGAGGAGGGCAGAGGTATTCAAGGGAAGCTTCTTAATTGTGAGAAGACTGGTGTGGGCATGTGTGGTGTTTGCATTCAAATAAGGTAAGTTAGTGTCCAGAAGGCACTGAATTTACCAGCATCTGCACAACCCAAGAGAAATACACTAGAATTTTGTTATTTTTTGATACTAGCTGGAAAATACAAAGTTGCTTGGCTGACCTAAGAAAGGAATAGAAGGCTGTGAACAGTATATAACATAGCTGCAACTTCCAGCTTCTTCCTCTTGTCTTTTTACCTCTCGTCAAATTCAAGACCCTCTTGTTAATAGAGGATGTTTCAGATCAGGGCAGTTCACAGGCCTGAGGGCTGACCTGCAAACTAGTAGAAAATTCACATCACTGAGAAACATTAATTTTATATTCCAAGTCAAACAGCCATGATCCAAGTCACATGTGGACAACATTCAGAAAACTCTTATTGTAAAAGAGCTGTTCAAACTCCAAAGAAGAAAACAACCCCACATTTCCAAATTAAAAAAAAAAAAAAAATACTGTAAGTTAATATGAAATCACCTTTCTGAAAACCCACTGTTTCCAGGGTTACAATATAACTATATTTACAGTAGTTCCCTCAGTTTAGAACTGACCAGGTGCCAGGCCAGACACCTCACTAAACATGTTATCTGAATTGTCCCATTTCATCCTCCCAAGTACCCTAAGGGCCCATTATGACCTTTATAATCTCCACTCTGCAGCTGAAAAAAACCAGCATCAGATAGATGGGCTAACTTGCCCAAGTTCACACCGCTAATACACATCCGAGCTGGAGTCATACCACCTCCTTTCTCAATCTGTAGCTCACACGGCAGAGCAGCAACATGCTTCCCGTGGCACCCTGGTTCACAATTTCACAACCAGGAGGTAGAGGGAAGATAGGCTGAGGAGTGGCTTTTAAAGGAAACGGCAGAAGTTTGCTTCTACGTTTGTGATTTTCTCTTTAACTCAGCTTCCTTGTTCAATCCCAGAATTTAGAAGTGGGAAGGGGCTACATGGCTCCACAAAGTCAGCTCTTCCTAAATGCGGGGCATCCTGTGCCCCACAGGGCCGCCAGCTCCGCGTCCTCCCGGGCTGGGGAGGGAACTGTGAGGAACAGAAGAGGTCACCGGCGCTGGCCGGCCTTACCTCTCCCCCGACTCCGCCAGGGGTCAGTCGGACACCCTCGGCAGGGGCATCTTTCTGAGAAAGCAGGTCAGGTCAGGGGAGTGAGAGGGAGTGAGGCTGCAGGCAGCCTTTACCCAGGTTGTCACAGCTCGGGGCTGGAGCGGCGTGACAGCGAGCGGGCACGCTGGGACACACCGCCTCCTTCTATCCTCGCCGCTTACAGCAGCGGTCTGGAGAAACCGAGGCGGGAGGTTTGGGGGGCTGACTGGAGTAGATCCCTCAAAGGGCTGAGAACGGGGGCAGCCACGCGCAGCCGTCCCACAACTGCGTTACTTAAATCTCTGCCGAGCAAACACGGAGCTGTGGACAGCTGGATTCGAATCCTGGCCACAGCACTAACTGGCACTACGACCTATCCCAGCAGCTGCCTCGCTCTGTGCCCCACTTTCTCCCTCTGTAAAACAGAAGGGTTGAAGACGACGATCCCCAGGAACCCATCTACCCCCGGATTCTGCAGCTCCGTGATTCTTCCGAGCGCTCGCGGCAGCGCGAGACTCACCTTTCTTGGGAAGCAAATCGGGCGCAGCGAAAGCGGCAGGGATGGGCGCAGGGGCGCTCGGCACCGCTTCTGACCGCGCCTCCGGCCACAGCACAGCCCGGATCCCGGCAGTCTTCCCCAATGAGCCTCTTACTTTCCGCCGCACTTTCTTTTTCCCCCTTCGGGGCTCCTCCCCCGGCGCGGCGCGATTGGCGGGGGCCGCCTGGCTCAGGCTGCACCCGCCGCCCTGGCTCGCCATCCACCCGCGCTCCGGGCTTCCACGAGCTGCGGCCGCGGGGCGGCACCCTGGGCAGTCCCGCCCGCCTCGAGGAGGAGCCGGCCTGCGGGCGGATGCGAGGCTGCGCTCGTTCCCGTCGGCGCCCTGCCGCCGCCTGGGCTGGCTTGAACGCTCAAGGAAAGGAGGGGGTTCGTCCTGCAGCTCAGCTGGGCACGCTGCCTGGCGCTCTGGGAAGATACGCCCCCGCTATCCACAGCGGCGCACACACGAGTTCAGTGCAAGATCCTGGTCTCACAGTTGAGATAGATGTCTCCCTGCTTTTTCTTCTTGTCTCTGTTTAGCTATCGTGCTGCAAGGCCGTGTTCAGACTACACTATTTGCGCTACCACCATGTGCCAAGCACAGACGCGATAGGAAAAAACAGAAACGCGATCTCGGTAGCCAGGAGCTCTAGCTCCTCTAGAATTGACAGTCCTGGGAACGACCAACGGGTCATGGCAGCAGGACTGATTCTGTATTGTCCACTGGTGTATGTATACCCAATACCTAAACAGTGCGGAGCACAAAGTAGTCACTCAGTTCGTGTATGCTGAATGAGTGAATGAGTAAAATAACTAATAGGTGATAGGAGGAAATAATCTCAAAAGAACTATTTCCCTTTCATTCATTCCTATTTTTCCAGGTTTCTGCAAGAGCATCCAGGCGCCCTGTCCCACTCGAGATGGAGTCTGTATAATCATCCTGAGAAGCTTTATAATGACTTTCATTAAGTCAACTCTCTTGTCCAAGAAACTTCTGCTGTTACCTATTGGTCGTCCATCATAATTTCTTCCTGACTTGCAAGGCCCTTCATGACCTGTCACCATTTTTAAGGCTCCCTAATAGAGGCGAGCTACCAGACTGACTGGTCTCTTCACACATGCCCACATACCCACCACACCTCCTGGATTTTTCTCCTACGCCTAGGGTTACCTAACTGAATCTTACTGATTTATTTATTCAAGAGACTGAGATCCAGAGAAAGCAATTAAGGAAAGGAGAAAAAGGATGTGAAGGAATAAAAGGGCCTGGGTGAGTGAGGAAGAAAGGGGAACTAGCAGATGCCAGTCCTGCTAAAGACACACAGCAGTACAAAACTTAGATGCTGCCCCTGCCCACTTGGAGCTTCGCTTCCTGAGGTGAAGTAACAGTGTAACAGAATCTATAGAAATGTTCATGTTATTTCATTTCTTGATATCACTTATGAAAATTAACTCCAAAAAATTATTATTTTTCTCTAGATACCTGGCATACAGTACAAGTTCACAACATTTTTACTGAACCAAAGAGGAAATAATCCAAAAGAATTAAGAAGTTACCTGTATGAAGCAAAGATAAAACTGTTTTTTTTTTAATTTATTCATTAAACATATTCCTGGAAATGACTTTTTTTTCTTATACAGTACACTTATCAAGCACTTACATAGTACTTACAAAGCAGCAGGCATAATCATAAGGACTTCACATATATTAACTCATTTAACCCTCACAACAATCTATTGGGTACTATTATTATCTCCAAGTTAGAGATGAGATAAAGAGAAGTTAAATAACGTGACCAAGGCTACAAGCCTACAAGTGGAGAAAGCAAAACTACAACCTAGGCAGCCAATGTTCATAAGCAACCCACTATACAGTCTCAAGTGCTGCCTAGAAGCCATGTAGATGCTGGTAATTCAGAATTGAACCAGATGTAGTCCCAGACTTTGAAGGGCTACTCAGAGCTTAAAGAGGATAATAGCATATAAATGAATTATCATAGTATATTGTAATTTGGATACAACATAAATGGTTGGGAATGAAAACTATTAATTTAAGCAATGCTATGTACTTACCTAATAAAGTATTTGCTGTTGTAATTACCATATTATGAAAATATGTCTACAAAGAAAAAGGCTTACATGATAACTAATGAAGTTGAGTAGAAGTTAAGAAGATATACGGACAGCAATTAAAAGGAATGTGAAAAAGTGTTGATGTGTTAGGATTATGGGAGTACAGACATGTTCATACTTTTTCTTTTTTAAATTTGTCTTAATATCAAATCGTTATTGTAACAATTAGAAAAAATATTTTAAAATCCTGCCCATTGAGTATCCATCACATATCAGGCATTTGATGAATAATAGTTGCCTAAATAGATGAATGAAGCTGCACACTTGTTGGTGTCAGTGCCTAAAAGTCTTGGGTGTGTAAGAGTTGCTCAATAAAATATTTTGGAATTTATTGGAGTGTTTTTTAGGCTATTTTTAATTATTTTGCCATAACTATATAGGGCCTCAGGATTTTGCTAGTCCCTTGAACTCAATCCAGTCAGACTTTTATCCCTAACACTCTTTAGTTAAGGTCTCTAATGACCTCCACTTTGCCAAGTTCAGTGGTCAATTTTGGTCTTCGTTTTACCTGACCTATTAGCAACATTAGACACAGTTGACCCCTGACTACTTCACACTCATTCTTACTTGACTCCCTATTTTCCATCTATTTAGTCTGCTGTTCCTTACCAGACACTTTTGTTGGAGCTTCTACCTCTTCCTGATTGCCAAAGGCTGGAATGTCCTAGAGCTCAATGTTTGTAGTACTTATATTCCTTCCCTGAGGGATCTCATTCAGACACATAGTTTTCTAAAATATATATATATATGATAATGACCTACATATTTAAATCTACGGCCCAAGGCACAGACTCTATATATCTTATTGCCTCCTTCGTATCCACTCTCAGATGTCTTATATACATCTCAAACTTTACATGTTCAAAATCAAACTCTTCATTTATATCCTTCACCAAATCATCTCCTCCCGCAGTTTCCCCAGCTTTGCAAGGAACACCTTATTTTTTTACCCAGTTGTTTAGGTTAAAAAGTTGGAGTCATCATTGATTCCCCTCTTTCTCTCCTAGCTTATATGCAGTCCATTCACAAATCTTCTGTTTTCTCTACATTAAAACACATCTAAATTGGACCACTCTTCCTTCTTTACCACAACTACTATAGTTCAAGTCACAGTCATCTCTCCCCTCACTGGTCTCCCTGCTTAAACTCTTGTCCTAAGGGCTTATTCCCCACACTTCAGAGATCTTAATCCACAGAAATCAGAATAAATGCAGGCTAGTGATTAAGCGCAAGGAATTTAAAGCTGAACTGCCTGGGTCCAAGTTTAAATTCTGCAACACATTAACATAATATGGTCAAGTTACTTAACTTTTTGTCCCAGTTTTATCCTTTGGAAAATAGGAATAATGATAACATCTACATCATAGTGCTGTTTTACAATTAAAAGAATTTACATAAGTAAAATACTTGGAACAGGGATTGGCACCTATGAAGGCTATATAAATATTCATTATTATTTTTTATAAGAAATATTAGGACATAGTCTGCTTTCAAATATGCAACAACTTCTTATCATGATTAGGTAAATTTTGAGAGTCCTTATTGTCATCTACAAGGCCCTCCATGATCTGGCTCTGAGTTACTTTTTTAAATCTCTCATTGCATGCTCCGTGCTGTTGCCCAAGCACACTAGCATGTCCCATCCCGAGGCCTTCGCACTGGCTGTTTCCTCTTTCTAGAATGCTGTTGCCCTATGGATCCCTTTCCCATTTTATTCACATCTTCATTTATGTCCTTATTCAACTGTCACCTTCTCAACGAAGCCTTTCCTGACAACAAAATTAAGTAATACCCCTTTTATTTTCTATCTTAATTATGTTACATTTTATTAGTTTACTGAATGCCTTTTTCTCTAGAATACAAGCTCCAGGAGGGCAATATAATGTTTCCCTAACAAATAGACAGGACTTTGCACATAATGCTCATTTAATACACATTCGTTGAATTATGAATCCAATCCAAAACTCTCACAGTTAAACTGAGACCCAAAGATGTTTAGTGACTAATTTATTGCTCTCCTCCTTTGATTTACATTTTTGGGAGGCCAGAGTAATTGGAAGAGAAGAAGTAAAACAACAAATAGCTTTCTTTGGCTGGGTGCAGGGTAAAGAAAGTACAATATGAGACATTTTACTTTGAGTTTTTGAAAAGAAAGTGAAGGGCAGGACAGAGCCAAGAGAAAAAATATGAAAAAGGAAAAAAGTAATTATGTCACCATCCATATTCTTTTATGTTCTCACCTTTTATACCCCTCAGCTCTTTTTTCTTCCGTCCCACCTGACCCCTGGAACTGTTCCTCGGCTGTCCAAAGTCCGCCCTACAGTACCCAGTTTTGCTTTTCCTCACTCTCCTCTTCCAAGTTCTTTCCGAATTCTTTTTTTTCTTATAGCTTCTGTTCCTGAAAAAAAAACCCACTTCCCTCAGTTTGGTTCAGCGGAAAAACAAGGAGATTAAACAAAGTCGAGTTAAGGTAGAGATTGCTACGAGCTCAGCCCTATCTTGTCACAGGTATAGGCTTATTGACTAAAACACATGTATCTAACTATTGAAAGACAAGTAGTTTGGAGGAGGACATTTGTCTGTGCAGTGGAAAGTGTTCCTCGTTGCTATCCCTCAGCCTCGCAGACTGTGTGAGCACAGTGGATTAAATTATGTCCCCCCAAAATTCATTGAAACTTGAATGGTGTCCTCCAAGTTTTATGTATTAGAATCTTAGCCCCCACTGTGACTTTTAAGAGGGTGGAAAAGCCTATTATGGTAAGTGAAAGGTGGAGCATTGATGAGGTGATTGGATTGTAGGACCATGCAGTAGTGAATGGATTAAAAATAGTAGTCAGGGGTGTGGTTCTGAGGGCTTTAAAAGAAGGGGAGAATCTGTCTCACTCTCTCTGCTCTCTCTGCTTCCACCATCTTGCAATGTGAGACCCCTGTGTCACTGTTGCCACC